CGGGACACACACCTCGACTCAAAAAGAGAGGTGGATAGTGACCTGAACGTTCGGACCCGGAAAACCTGGGGTACCAAACTGGGATAGTGTATATAGTACTATAGGGTGCTTCAACCTCTGTTGGTGATTTGAAGTTGGAGATGGTTGATTTCAAGCTCTTGGTGTCGTAGCCTCTTCAACTTCGGCGCTGTTGCAGCTGCACCTGCTGCATTGGATCAAACAGCGGCCGAATGCACTTTTCACGATGTCCAAGATATAAACATCTTAAACCCCGGAGCCACAATCCGCTGGTTGGTCCATTGACATCCCCCTTGTGACATGTAACGTGACATATATAGCCCAGTGTATCCCAGGCACACCACTATATAAGGAACCAGGGATTTTAGCTCTATGGTCTTCGTCTTTGGAACCACTGGTTACCAGCGAGCTCTCGTGGTTTGCCTGGATGCTGATTGGGTGCCCCGCTCCGGTGCCAGCGCGCCCCTCGGACCCTCGGGTGACACCGCACGCGATCCCGGGATCGCGGCGCAAGCCCCCACGAACTCGCTGGCTGTTCAGACTTCCGCACCAAACTCGCCGGCTGAGTCTGGAGCTCAAACCGACAGAAGACTTGTATGAATAGAATAGATGAAATGATATGAATTCTGAATATAGATATGAATAGTATGAATTGCAGGACATGCTGAAGAGGCCATGCTCTCAACCCCCTCGCCACCAGCGTTCTACCGCACTTAGATCTTTCAATCCAAGAACTCTAAAGCCTTTTCCGCTGGAAGGAAGACCACCTTCCGCTGTGTGCCTTCAGGCAAGGTGGGCTTCACCAAGCTCCAAAGCACACTGAGAGCAGCTGGCGCATCCACAATCCTCGGAGTGATGTTGAATCCCAGCGTTGATGCCGAGACCTTTTGAGACCAATATATGATATACATGACACCAAACCAAAACACATGATGTATACCAGGACCTTCCTTGGGAGGTGTTTATAAATAGCCTCTTAGTGGTGAAGGGGTGTCCCAAACCCACCGGACTTGGTTTCGGTCCTGGTACATGATGTGTTCTCCTGATATGCTTTGCTTTGAAACTAGTGTCGCCCGGTCGAACATGAGTGAAGGAAATGATGAGTGATTGCTTTCCTCACGTCCGTACGATGGCATACGGAGCTTACACACTTACACATGTACATCATACGGAGCTTGCACACTTACACAGATGTACATCAGACTTGTTCACATCGAGATGTGACTTGTTGCTAGTCCAGCCACTTTTGGAAAGGCCTATGTCGATCATCTTCCCCCAACCATTTCTAGAGTCCAGATCCAATTTAGCCGAAGTCAGCAAATCAGCTTCACCTCACCTACCGTGCCTGCTGAACATCTCACGTCCATCCCGGAAACCGCTGCAACCATGCAACCAGGAAACATAATACTCCGGAGCACATCTCTGAAGGCATACTTGAGCAACTCGCCTGCACCGATGACACCTCGTGGATCTAAGTTGTAGCGAAGCTGGAAGTGCTTCAAATCCAGGACGGCATCCAATTGGTGCACGTGCTGGGGCATCATCTTCACGGCCGTCTCTAAGACGACCGCTGCATGCTCGACCATGTCCCGCTGGTTATAGCTTTGAGTCTGGAACCTGTGAGATGTGTATAGCAACGGATGACCTGCACAAGGTTCAACCTGTTCCGAAAAATCTTGAAACACCTGGGAAGGTCAAACTCTTTGACTGGTGGCTCGTGTGAAGCATTTCTTTCTTCTGAAGTCCACCCTGATATGAATAGCCAACCGATACCCGATACTACAAGCCGGCAGATACTTGAGGTGTGACATGAGGAGTCGAGCCGTAGTCCAGGCTGATTCAGGCCGTAGTCCATTCTGACTGGCCGGTTCCCGCTGTGGATCGGTCCGACCTTCACCCTTTCACCCCTTTTCCGCTCAGGCCAGGGGACTCGATCAGGCGACTCGGGGTGATGGGACTTGGGGTTTGGGGGGTCGGGGCGGCATAGTCCGTCCCATGGGGTTGTTCCCGGTAATTTCAAGAGGTGATCCGATAATCCACGTACTTTCTGGGTATCTGGGTAGGCATACGACTTTTTTGGTAGTCTGGTCTTGGCTCCCTCAATGCGAGCAAGGACTGTATGGACTGTGGCTGAGTGAGTCATACCCGGCACCCAAGGTCCACTATCCAAACGATATGTAAGCAAACATGGCCTACATTTGATGTTGGTGGTGAATGTGTGGGTCATATTTGCTTATCTTTTGGACATTTTTGGGCTAATTGACGACTGATTGAGGATGTCACACCTCTTGGCGGAAGGGTCCTTCTATTGGGGACTTTCCCTGTTGAGCACGCCCGCATGACTTGCCCAAGCTTGTCGCCTGAACCTCCTTGGCATAGAATCCGCATGTCCCCTTGCCAGATAGGAGTCCGCTGGCCAGTCAAAAGGTCCCAATGCTGCCTTCGCCACTCTAAAGCTTTTGCCACGAGCTTCCCAGCAGCCATAACATCCCCGTTCCTTCCGCGCAAATAGAGTGACACACGGAAAGGAGTGCACCATTCCTTCTGCCACTCAGACATTGACATGCCCAGCTGCTCTGTTGCAAAAGCGACGGTCTGGTCTATGAGCTCTTGTGGGAAAACGTCGTAGTTGAGGGGAATGGCATCAACCTGATCTGCTTGCAACAAACTTTCCTTCACAGTATCGTGGTCAAACCTCACAGAAACCACTTGGCATTTCTCCGCGAAGTCGGGGAAGTCCTGATCCAAAGCATGACCCCGCTCAGAGGCGCAACAGGTTCCCATTTGAAACACCGGCTGAACCCAGATGCAGCGGAGCCGAGCATGACATGAGCATGCATGTAGAGCGCCCCCCACACACACCTGGTGCTCAAAACGTCTGGGAGAATGAGTCCACACGACCTCCGGCCGCCCTCCTGGGACCTCCCACTGGCAGCTTGGCTGAAGCCAAGGCGTGCGAAAACGCATGTTCACATGGAAAGTGCCCAAGAGAGGTTGAACAGCCTTGTAGCCCATATGTACCACTATGGGGTCCTATAAGGTCTCTCAACCTCTCTTGGCATGCATGTCTTGGGGAAAACGCCGGTCCAATACTAGCTGTCGGGGAAACGACGAACTCCCTCAGTCGCTCTCTCCGCAAAAGGCGCGCTAGAGTAGGAAGGGAGGGGGTTGCCAACCACTCCGACAGAGGGTGAAGAACCCTTTTGACTCTTCGATAGAAGTAGGGTCAGATCACTTGACCTCTCATAGCTTGTGTCAAATGCCTGTGGTTTCACCCTTGGACTCACCGCTGCTGTCAGCACCTCCCTCGCCCCCGACCGCCTGTCAGCACTGTCCCAGCACTCAGCGAAGGAAGCGGACTCCAGTGTGAAGGACGCAACGTAAACTGAAGGATGATACAGAGCCACCAAGCGGCGTGGTGATGCATCTTTCATCCACGCTAATTATCGGCGTTCCTCCACGGGTTGAGAGACTTTGAAGATCTTTGAAGCCTTTTCAGTGGCGTGGTGATTTCGGATATATGTTGCATATCTGGAACCTCAAGGGGCGTCCAATGGAGGTTCCTTAGTAGTGTAGGGGCTTCCAGCCAGGTGACCCGTTCAAGAAGGTGCTGGTGCAGAATTGGTATTTTCCAACATCTGCTCATGAGAACTAGTTTGCTAAGTTGTTCAGTGAGTGTTGGTTGGGACCCACCTTCCTGTTGAACTAAACCAGATTGCTGAGATATCAACAAGCAGTATACCTCCTTTCTGGATTCTACGCTTCCGGCGGCGTCTTCGGCTTCGAGCAAAGCATGCTGATGGCCATCGTCACCACCCAACTCCTTCCTTTCGGTCACCTGATTGGACAACCCTAGTACTGATAGATGATAGGTTTCCAGACAGGGCACCCAACTTGGGAGTGCTAGGAAGTAATCTTAAAGGCTTGGAAGATCATACATCGTTCATTTCGGCACCAAGGGCCAAGGTTTCTGGCAAAAGATTCAAGTGCGAAAAGGGCTAACAGCTAACACCATATGACCCAGTGGGGTCAAAGTCTTTGGCACATTTCTCCTTCACTATCCGACTGATTTTAGCATGCTTGAGCCAAATTCCATCGGGTCGCGTGAACATGACCATAGGGTCACCCAAAGGTAACCCAAGTCGACCGCATGTGCGACGCGTTGGACGGACGCCTAGACATCGTGGACGTATGCCGGGTGCGGGTAGGGGGGAAATCCCCATCTCGAACAGAAGGAAGAGGGAGTTGAAAACATGATCCCACCACGACCCATGGGACTGGCATGCTGATCAGGCCAGGGGTGGTGGTTTGGGGGTATAGGCTTTTTTGGGGCATACATGAAGTATCATGCAGTGTATGGGACATGAAACCAGTGTCATCTTTGCTTCTCCCGGGCTCCATGCGTTGCCACGCCAGGCGACCGACTGATCTTCATCAGGTCGAGGCCATGGAAGTCGGGATCGGCCCACTGAATGGTGGTTTTGACAGTTGAAGACGTTAGACCTGCCTTCCCCCAAGAACTTGTATGTTGGGGTAGTCATGCATGGGTAGTCTTGACACAAACATCAATGTGTCAATGAACGAAAGCACCAATCAGTGGCTTCAAGATTCCTGATGGATCCCGCATCTCAGTAGGATGAAATCGATATCAGTTTCCTTGGCCAGTGGCCTGTCCCCCCACAGATTCAACGATGCTAGCGCATCCGGATGTCCTATTCTTCGGGCTTTTCGACTGCGGCTTCGTCCATGCCTCGTTGTCGGTATGTGTCCGTTTCCCAAACACTCCATCGGACTGCCAGTCCGGACTGCCAGGGGTGGTGGTGCCAGGGGGGGTCAGACTCTGGGGCGGCAGTCCGGACTGGCAGTCCGGTCGCGTCTGGGTTTTGCAGGTCTTTCTTTGATCCCTCCACTTCTCTGGTTCCCCCGCACCGGGTCACCACAGGTTCTCCCGAGTCACTCGCACCGATCACCGAGTCACTCGCCTCGCGAGTCACCGGAGTGGTGGCTGAGGACCTACCCGAGACCCCGAGACCAGTGGAGGCAGCCCCCTGGGTGGCCTGTTGGGGCACTGGTTGCGTTGAAACCACCCAGTAACATACCATGCCAAACGACTGGAAGGGGGCCCTAGGGGATGCATATCTTCTGGAAGCGAAGGTCAGTTCAACTCTTAACATCTCGAGGTTCTTTTGCACCGAGGGCTGCCACCACCGGATCTCCTCTCGGCTTCCGAAACAAGAGTTATATAGGCGCCTGAAAGGGTCGGCTGTCTGGACTTCTGGAAGCTGTCGCCCCAATTTTGCACTTTGCTACTGTCTTGTTCCTATAGTAGCGATGGCCTCCACAAAATAGCATCCTTGTTACTAGTAAAGACATTTCATGACATTTCTAACACGGACAGGTGCAGCTCAGGAGGCTCCCAACGTTGCTAGGATCCTGGTGCCAACTGCCAGCTCCAGCTCAGCTTGACAAGACCCATCAACGTCAGTTTAGGGATTCGACGGAGAAAAAAACACACGTTGTTCGACCACACGGAGTCGCATTCCGACTGTGCGAGGTGACCATGATAAGACCTGCATATAGGATGCAAAAGGTCTTCCTGGCGGGTTGATCTTCCTTCGAGCCGGCCTTCAACCATTTGTGATTGGTCTTCGTCTTCACATCTCAGGGGGCCAAACCACCAGATGGCCGCCTTGCATAGATTTGCTCCGGACAGATCCGCTGGTTCCCTACGTGTCGTCATCGCCTGGTCTACCCAAACCCTCTGGAAAGCCGATCAAACCTGGCCTCAAGGGGAAGGTGGAGAGAAGACCGCCGTGACGGCGAGAGCCTGCGTTGAGTGGCACCGGATCACGAGGAGGTCCCGATCCGGAGTTGGCATCTGAAACCGATCTAGATCAGCTTGGGCTGGTTGAATAGGGGGTCAATGATGGTTGATGTAGACCAACATTCCAGTCCCAAGACCAACCTTCCAGTCCAAAACAACTCGCAGCTTTTCGGCTACGCTTCTTCCATCTTCCCCAGCGCGGGAAGAAAAGAACGCGAGGATCGAATCAAGGTTCTGTGACCAGTCCGCTTTTCTCAAAGCTCTGCAGACTGCAGACATGTCTGTCAGTCCAACTAACTCTTCCTCTCCCGGACCACATGAGGAAACGGTGTCCTTTTCAAAAGGCCCCTCAGGAACTGCCTTGGGCCCCGGGCAGTTTGAGAAAGCCTCCAACTTCTCCAAAAGCTGTCCCAGCCTGAGTGAGCCCGTAGCCAGCTCAAACGACTCAAATCGGCTTTGAGATGGCCTCAAGTAACAAGAAGCTACTAGTAGCTCCTGGCATTACTATTAGGAACAAGAAGCTACCAGGTGGATGCCATCGCTATTAGGTTGGAGGCCATTACTAGTAGCAAGAAGCTACTAGGTTACTAGGTGGAGGTCAGTAAAGCAAACACTTTGAAGTACTCTTCGATTCCCTTCACTGCACGTTCACCAGTGTGGCGTCTGTACCATACGCTTTCAAGTGGATTGAGGGATTGACAAACCACGTGTTTTCATCCATCTTCAGAAGCTTTCCGAGGCTGCCGCTCTCTGCTACACATTCAGGGAGGGCGATGGCCAAGTGAGCAAAAACATCCATAAACACTACTTGCGGACCAACTTGCGGACATGGTAAAAATTAAAGTCGTTCGAACCTTTCAAGGTCTGGCGTTCATCGCCTCTCCTAGGAATCATGGTCTTTGGGAAGTTTCCTCCGCCACCAGTCACAAGTGTGTCTTTTCACCGATTGGACACGTTTTTTCATCGGGGTGTCCTTCTCCACCTCTTCTCCACCTCTGATCAGACGATGACTCTCCAACCCTTACGCTCCACATCGCTCCTTCGTCCGTCCACGCGGAAGGTTCTGGACGTTCACGCTGCACGCACGCACCCCGCCCTCTGCGCGGCGACGAGGACGCCACTTCTCTCCAATGACGTGATTGAACCTGGTGCTATAGTTGTCCTCATTTGTCACCGCGGAGCGTTTTGAGGTCGACGGCCGAAAGCGCGGATGGCCGCAAGAAGACACCCAACAGGTTATTATAGTGGTCCTCAAATAGATAGAAACGGTGTCCAATACATGTTAGATCATTTTAGTGGTTCGAACTACTTTTCTATCTGTTTGCGAGTCTATACAGGTTTAGGTTCGACCGAGCAACGCGGACTGAACCGATGAGGCGAAGAATTGCCGGCGACATGTGATGGCGACAGATCGGCGAAAGGGCGAAGAAAAATCTCAGCAAATGAATCTATGGCAACTGCTCTGCGCTGCGCAGCTTGAGGTAACCCAGGTACTGTGAGTGGCAAACACCTCCAGTTTCACAAGGATATTGCAGTAACCGCTCAGAATCTGAGGGCCCCCAGGTCTGTAGGGCAACTCCATGAATAGTGAAGTAGGTCATGGGAGCAACCCAGGTGAACTGGACATGAGTTGTTTTCATCCGAAAAAGACTGGATGGTCGTCCGAGGCGGTGGAGGGAGACTGGTGCCTCATGCTCATCACGAGCCAGTCAGCCAGCACCCCCATCCAGTCTGAGGTTGGAGGCCATCGCTTTTAGGTTGGAGGCCATCGCCTTTAGGTCGGAGGCCCTCGCCTTTAGGTTGGAGGCCAGCGCTATTTAGGTCCAGGTTCCTTTGACTTGACGTCCAGATCTTGATCCTCTGAGGCCCCGTCCAAACCATCTCCCTTGAGCCCAGCCCGGTGGCTGATCACGTCCTGCTCCAGCCTTGGACGAGATGATGGCCGAAGAGTGAGTGTTTGGTTGAAGACCTGTTTGGTTGGCACCTGGGGGAGGTGTGGAAAAAAACTTTTCTACAGGTCACTCCCTTCAGATCACTCCCTGTGATCAGTTTCTCAATGACCCAAGCAATCCTTGGCCAAAACATGTTAGACATGGATAATCAAAATAAAGAAAATAGCAAAGCAAGTGATTGAAACGATTTACAGTAAACATTTGGGACTTATGCTGGGATCGCTGCATTCCGCACATGGGAGATGTCGCCAGCCCTTTCGGGCCTTTGCATGCGCCAAAATTGCATGCGCCAAAATAGCCTCCGCCGTGCTTCTTTTCACTGAGCTTATAGACCCCCAAATAGATCTGTAACAGATCCCCACGAAAACTGTGGAAACTGTGCCGCGGTCATCTATTTGGGGACCACTATACAACTCGCCCACGGACGCTCCGGGAGCCGCAGCTCCATTCAGCGCCGGGCTGGCTCTGGAGCATGCTTTCCAGCCGAGCCGCCTGGCTGCGAGGGCCCTAGGCGGCCCTAGGCGCCACCCTGTCCGATCTGGGCCGTAGGAAGTGTTCTGTGAAAACGGGAAAGGGATGGAACACATCAAACTTCCAGGCTCAGGAATATCCTGGAAGATTGGATTCCAAGCTGGTGGAACATCAAGCCACAGTCCCGAATGCCCGAATGCCTGTCGGAAAGAAACACTTGCATGTATCTCCCCTGACCATTACTGTAAGTGAGCTATTTTGATCTATTTTGCAGCTACAGTACGGCCTTGGTGGATCAGTGTCAATTCGGCCGGTGGATTGTGGGAGGCTTGGATGATTCGGAACGTCACGTCGCCTGTGTCACGTCCACGGGCTGGTACTTCAGGGCCTCCGCGGCGTCCTGGCCGTCTGCGAAGGGCTCGGCATCTGGTCGAAGCGAATGGAACCGGATTCATTTCCACCCCCCTGCGTTTCACCAGTCATGTGGACTAACAGGGAGCCAAATGCAAGACAAATACCAACACCTCACTGCACAGGTCACCAATTGAAACCTGTTAGGGCCTAACAAACCTCCTTTTCGGAGACCTGTTCGAAGGTGCTGCTTATATATACAAGAAAATGTATATACACCTATAGAACCTGAATGACCTCTATTTGGGACCACCAACCACCCCAAATATGGCAAAACTTCCTATCAAAACAGGGGTCAAAACAGGGTTCCAGGACACTCTGGTGGTCAATGCTGGTCAATACGCCTGTGAGACCTCCAGCAAACCCTCCGCCGTCGCCTCGAACCGACGCGAACGTCGGGATGCGCGAGGCGAAAAGCGCCCCTTGACGCCTCTAGGAGCCAGCTGCGGGACGGCTCCAAGTCTTCCTCCCCTGCGACGCACGCGAAAGAAGGGTGGTGAAATGGTCCTGAAATCCGATGAATTCCCCGAGCCTGTGGGACCTCAGAAGCAGGGGATGATAGATCATGACGAGTATCTTGAAAGTACTGATAGTCGAGTCCCAGCATCCGACTCTACAGGTCTTCTTTGGTGGCTATTGAAGACTTGGCAGGTGGTGACCTGTTGGATGGTACATGTCTTTGTGGGTGATCTAGGGTCATGTCTCGTGGCCAAGGGTACGAGAAGAAAGGTCCAGTGCTCAGTACCTGTGCTTGTTGGACCCTGCCAGGGATCGGAGTGCAATGTGTGGCACCTTAGATGTCTTGTACAAACATGCCGCTCAAACCTGGTGTATCTGCTGCAATTCATCATGCTGTGGAGTCATGTTGTCCTGCAAGCCTCACCTAGATCCTGAAAGTCTTGCACCAGTTCGTTGACCTTGTGAACCGCAGGAAGCACTTTTGTTCTGTAGAACCCAAAGCAACGGGAAAACATCAAAAAAACACATGGTCCATGGGTCCATTGTCTCGGTGGGAATTACCTTCTCTACATGTCGCAGGTTTCCAGTTGAAGTCCCAAGAGATCCGCCCCCATCCCTGCACGGTGCGGTACCGGTCGCCTGCCGGTGGTTGTCCGGAGAGGCGTCTCAGCTCCCCAGCACGGAAGAGAGGCTTCCAAACTGGGCGCCGGCGCGAGGCGCGACCCGCGGTTGCGCGGCGGGTGGCGGTGCGCCGTGCACTGCATGGGGTTGGTGCGGGAGTTTGGGGGACGAGTTTGCATTCTTGGCAAGCCCAAGTGCGGTCACCTGCATTCATGAAGTGTTGATTGGACGCTCCTGGCGCGTGGCCATGGTGGATCCCTACCCAGTCACGCGCCATGAGACTGGAACACATGCCGCCCCGACCTCGACTAGCGGGACTGCCAGTCCGGACTGCCGAGAAACGGCCAGGTGTGGTGCCAGGGAGGTCTGGCAGGGTCGGCCGAACTGCAGTCCCAGACAGGTCGTGTCTAAATATGGCACTGAGACTGGTCATGTTGGTGGATCCCCAACTCCTGCTGTCCGCGGCCTGTCACGCCGAGCCACGCCGCGTGTCAGAGAGATCCCACGACATCGACGTGGCCACGCCGGTGCGGTTCCGGCCATCGCCTGCGGTGGGTGTCCGGTCCCGGCGCCGAAGCCCCATCCGGTGGACAGAGGTCGACCCCTACTACTCCGTGACTCCCTGCAGATCCCTTTGAAGGACCCTGCACCTGGTGGTTTTTCAGGTGGGGGTGTTCTCAATCCCCTCGATCCCCCCCCAAACAAGAAAGGTGACCTGCACCTGATCCACGGTTCCTAGCAGTGGACCATCGATGACCCACACATCGATGGTCCAGTTGGGGTGGCGATGTGGCGCGATGTGCATTCAGCTAGGTCATCGACTTCTTTCCATGTGCGTTCGTGTGTGGGTCTTCAGGTTGGATGGGTTGAGTTGCAGCGACTGGACTCGATTACGGTGGTCTTCGGGTGCGGGTGGGCTGGATTTCGGTCTTCGGATTGGGATGTGGCACCTGAATCCGGGCATGGGGCACCTGAAACATGTAGTCGCTGAACAGACTTTAAACATTGTACTTCAAACAGATTTGATAGGGAATCCAGCAAGTATGGCAGGCCTCTTTTTGCATGGCATATCTGAGCGAAAGCAAGCCATGCAAAAAAAGTGCAAATTATTCTGCAGGAGTTGCATGTGGGGTGGCATTCAATCCAAGTGAAGTGAGTGGATGTTCTGTGCACCCGACTTCCTCCGTGATATAAGCACTCCGACATGGAACTGCTCTTAGTCTTTCATCGTGTGACTTCACTTTGAGAACTCGTGCAGTTCATCTTAAATCCTCGGGACGCCGGCCTTCATAAGAATCTTCCACCCGACTAAGAGACTATATAGCGAGCCCAAATCGCATCAAATCTCACCATCATCCTCAGAACAAACCACGTCTCCATGCAAAAACACCGCCGGCCTCGTTGCAAGTTGGCCCACACCTGAGTCATGAAGAGTCATGAAAACGGATGTGATGTGATATCACACCGTGCCGCTGGAAATCATGTACTCAGGGCAACACCACCCAAAAGCGTGGTGATGTCAATGCATCAGAAACATGTGTCTTTGATTCATGATGCATGCCGAATACAAACCACCCATTGGATCGATTGGAGTTCCCGCATCCTGTAGGTATAGTATAATCCATCCGAGTGCAGCTGAGATCAGAAACACTGCCACGGTCTCGCGACGCGAAAAGCAAAACGCTGCGAAAAGAACTCGCGTTCAGTGGTGAGGCGCCACGTTCCGACGTTCTCCCAAAGAGACCCGACCAAGAAAGCCCACGTGGTAACAGAAAAAACACATGAAAAAGACTTCCAAATGGATCCAGATGGTCAGCGTTAGGGAGTGAACTGGCCAGGGTCGGGTACACGATGATTCCGAATTCGCCCTGAGAAGCTCTGGGAACGGCCCTGACCTGACAGTCCAATGGGCCATTTTTCATATGGTTGACCTGGTGCACCATTATCCAAATCATAGAACATGGTACCATAGAACACATTAGAAAACCATGGTTTCTATTGGTAGGAGCCACAAAAAATCCATGGCGATTGGAAGCCCAGGGGAAGCAGATCGTTGCAGTCAAGCTTTACTTGCAATCTGCAGGTTACAAACGCCGCGAATACCCTCGAATAACTCTGGTTGAGCCTCTGGTGAAGGCAACTGCCATAGCTGTGGAACCAACCAATTCATGTCAGCAGGCCTCTAAAATAGATATTTAGTAAACAAAAACAAAAACAAGCAACTAACGAAATCAAAAAAATACATGAAACAACCACCCTGATCGGCTTTGCTCCGGCCCTCTCACTTCAATCTCACTTTCGGGTGAACTCCGGCATCGCTCCCACTCGTCCTCCGCGCGGGCCCGGTCGACGGAGCGCTCGTGGTCACCGGGGCACGTTCTCGGCGTTGAAGACGAGGTGGACCCGGCGGATGGGGATCGTTGAAGCCTGGAGAGGTCGCAGGGGAAGCTCAGGAAGGGAAGGCTGGGGCCGGTTGGGGCTGGATCCAAAAATATTATAAAATATTGACATTTTTTTGGGGGTCATCGTTCATTTGCATATAGTATAGGAATGAAGCACCAGCCTGATTTAAAATTGGAAAATCCTGCTTCTTTTGATGGAGCGGAATGATGTGCAAAGTGAAATGACTCAGGGAAACGGGAAACGTGTTGGATCTTCTTTGATTGAACCAGTTGCGTCTTTTACATGCAATCCAGCGATACGCGATCCTCCATGACTTACGGCAGGTTTGATGTTTGATACTGAGCTGAATGAGGTTTGGAGGCCGTCCACTTCGCTCCAAACCACCGGTTTCGCCCGTGGTTTGACGAACGGCGGTTCAGGGTGACATGGAGTGAAGGGACGGTGTCTTATGATGGACAGCTGGTTTCAGGGTCCGTGGTCGTACCGAACCGGGTCCGGTTCGGTACGACCGGACCAGGCCCATCATGGCCCATCGGCCCCTTGACGACCCGGCTGAGGGACCAACTTCCCAATCATGCCACATCGCCAAGATCGATCGAAGCGTCATTATCGTCATTGGTGGACATACCAATCGACCCCCCGTGATTTGATTGAGGCTACGTCCATAATATATTACCTTTAAGAAATCCGGGCCCTCAAATACGTCTAGGCCGTCTAAGGCTTCCTTCGGGTCCGGACCCCTGCGTTTCGGTGTCGAGTCCGACCGCCATGGAGGGCCCGAGGATTCTTAGGTATACTAAATGACCTAACCACCGGCCATGTCACTGGGCACGCCCGTGTGCGCGCCCGCGTGCGCGCAGGATGCGCCTGCGCCAAGAGTTTCGGTCCACCAGCTGTTCCGGTCTCCTCCTTGAGCTGTTCGGGCGGGGTCGCTGAAACGACGACCCCAAGGTGGCAGGTGGGGACCAACCAGAGTTGGGTGCTGGTAGAAGTCAAACGAGCTACTTGCAAACACCAAAGAAACGCACTGCCAGACAGCAGTGCATCTACTCAGGACTGGCACGTACATTTGGGATGATTTCAGGTGTCAATGTGGCTGAGGCTGTGAGTCCAAACCATTTTTTTCTCGAATGTGAACCGAATAGACTAAACGTCACCAGACATGGTCAACTCAACCTACCATGATGGTGGGGTACACTCTGGCGAACACAGCGGAAGTGGATGGGAAAACCCTGAAAGGACGACGACTTTCCTTTACGAACAAGGGGGTGGCATCCACTTTCATGTGATGTGTTCATCGGAGTGTTGCTCTTGTCCACTTGCATGTTCGTTGGATGGAGGGTATACATGATCAGCCGCTCAAAACACTCCAAACTCTGATTTCCATCTGAGAGTCGGAGTGTACTGCCCTTTTGTTCCGACAGTTCTCACGTTTGGCCCATGGCAGGTCTCAAGTTTGGCCCAGGGAGTGAGAGTGAGGCACCTCTGCAGCTGCTCGGCGCCCACAAAGACTCCAGCCACCTGGGAGGCATCTCTTGCGGAGCCGAAGGCAGTGCAAGAGAGATGATAGGTAAGCCAAATCCATGCAGGATCCCGGATACCCCTGCAAACCAGAAACCCTTCTTCCATCCAGTCATCCAGTCCCTGAGAATCCATGGAAATATATGGAAATGGCATATTTGCCTGGGGCGGTTTCAAAGGCTTTTGAGCGGTCAATGTTCCAGTCCTATGGATTTCTAGGGGAATGACGATCAACAAGACGAAGTGCTGTAAACACCCACAATCACCCACACGTGCTCTTCAGTTACAGTAGTTTCAGAGTAGATGGCACTGGCACGATCCATATTTTCACCACCCGACCCTTGGGGGCCCAAACGTGCCCATGAAACCTCTGAAACACCATGTGACTTTAGCCTGAAAGAGGCATGTGCCTCTTAGGTATCCTGACTTCGACCCACAGACATCGAATTGATCAGACTATATATACCTGGAACCCAAACATGACCCCTGTTTTGATAGGAAGTTTGGCCATATTTTGGGTGGTTGGTAGTCCAAAATAGAGGTCATTCAGGTTCTAGGTATATATATATATGTCACAAATATATGCTGTACACGGAGTGTCTTGGAATAATTGAGAGGACCCCTCACCCACCAGAACAGCGATTGCATTGAACAAAGGCTTCACCTGACCACCTGACTGGCCGAGTTCGTCGGTTCCCCCACGGTGATGAGGCAGGGGACAACACTGGGGACAGCCTGTTGAGGATCTGCACTTTGACATGCACACACATCCACATCTCGCCATCATTTTATCCGCCGGCCTCTCGTGTTTCGTGCGTGCACGGGCGCGCAACGCTTGCCGCGTTCCGATCCACCGCATGCAATCTGTTCGTCGGCAAACATCTTTGGAGACTCGTTGTGATGTCTAAGCCTTCTGAGTGTGACAGTTTAACAAAAAACAAAGTAAAAAGTTAATGGGGTGAACTCACCCCAATTGATTACTATATTTTGAAAGATTTTGCTGCACAATTGGCATCCTTGGTGGAAAGAATGGCTGAAAGCTTCAGGGGTGGCAGGAATTGTCAGTTCCCATTGTGTTGCCTTTTCCACTCTTCAACTCGATGAGGACCTGCTATGCCTTGCTGAAAATAGGGACCGCAGATCGGAAGCAACTCAAATTTACAACTTGGATCACTTGGATCAAATTGACTCTACTCAAATCTGACAGTGCTTGGTCAGCAACTCTGCCATCACAGGCTCTTTGGCCATGCAAGATCTCGCATCGAAGCTTGGGCACATGGAAGTGAACACATCAAGGAACACAAACAATAACCAAACACTCCATGTATGGCAGATTTACATACATTGGGGTGTTTCAGGAGTCAATGTAGGCAGTAGGCAAAAAATATATATATATATGTATGTACCATACATGGAGTGTCTGGGATACAGGTGGGTTCGCACACCCCTGGTGTACTGTGCCATTCAGTGAGTGTAGGTGGATAGAGGCACCTCCCCCAGACATGGTCTCACATGGAAGCTCATGGGCAGGTTCTCGAAACAAGGAATGCCCGAGCTCATGGGGGAAACAAGAAGAAGAAGAACAACAACAAGAACAAGAACAAGAACAAGAACAACAACAACAACAACAAGATCAAGAACAAGAAGAATAAGAATAATATGAAGAATAATAACAACAATTGCACAACAATAACAATAACAATAACAACAACAACAACAACAACAACAACAACAACAACAACAACAACAACAACAGCAGCTGGGGGAGTTGAAAGCACAGGTGCCAAACTGTGCATGATGTTCTGCATCTTTGCCTCAGAGGGGCTGAAATGGTTTTCATTCAGAACATACAGTAAATACATGTAACTATCACTTCCCTGAAGCCAAGCCCGTCAAGCTTCCCATGATTTCTCGCCTCACCCACTGCGCTTCGTCCCATCCGCCCCCTCCGCGGCCCGTCCCTCCTTCGCGGCCAGGACGAAGGCCACGAGACCTGCGGACGAAGGCGTCCGGGTGCCAACAAAGACCTAACAGGGACTGAACAAAAAATACCGCTTTGGAACTCCTGAACCTCTCTATTTCCTGCATATAATATAATACAATATTCATTGTACCAAAATCCACCTCTTCTTCTATTTTTTCACGCCTTGACTCTGCGGGTGACACTGCGTCCACACGCCAAGAACGTGGCGTTCCTTGACTCAGGAACACCTCATTCTTGATATTCTTGGTAGGGAAACCCATTCCTTAAACAGGTATTGCGGGTAAACAACACCTGAGAAGGGGGGAACGAAAGCCACGAGGAACCCCCTAAAGACTCATTTCATTCGCATGTACGAACTGGCTAGCTTTCGTAATTGTATTCCATTCTGCTATCGGCCTCCCCATCACGTCGCGCGTCGAAAACGACCAGCCCAGCGTTACGCCGGTTCGTGCGGTTACGCCCGGCTCAAGAGCGGGCGAATGGCAACCGAACGAGCCACCCCTAAGAGGGTCCGAACATGTGCAATACCCAAACGCCTTCATTGGCCCAAACTGGTCGGACCCCGATGTGCCCGGTGCCTGCAGCGGTCGCCACCCGTGCAGGACCCAAGCAAAGCTTGGCGTAGTCGCTGAAGAGGAACACGCCTCGGACGGACCGCGCGCGGTCCCGTAGGGCGCGATGAGACCGGTCTGTGCGATGAAAGTGCGGTGGTAAAAGGTGAAAAGGGAAAGCCTGGAGTCCTGAGAAACACCGGGCAGGGTGTCTGATCTGTGTCTCTTCACACCCACCGTTCATGATCGTTCATGGGCTACCGGGGTCGAACATCAGTCAGACCTCCAACAGGTCGAACAAGAGATGTGTTAACTCACCCAGAATCAGATGACTCAAGAGATGATGGAGTGGTGATCGGAAGCGAGCTTCCAATCCATTTGGAGAGAACACGACCGGGATTTTGCTTAGGGAACCAGGAAAAAGTCACCCAATAAAACAACACCAGGATGAATAGAAGAAGGGACGGACTTGAACTTTGCATTTGTAACCAGCTATTGCAAGCAGTTTTCGTCCAGATTCTACCACTCTGGATGGCAACATTCGACCCTACAAACTAAAAGGAAAGTGGCTCAATGAAACACTTCAGGAACATGTCTCCTGCCCCAACCTGATATATTTCATCCACCCTTTGGGCTTTTGGGCTCAAGTCAAGTCCTATCTGACCTCGATCCTCACCGTGTCCCAAACGACCCACCGCGCCGCTAAACGGTTCACCCACGGCGAGGCGCCGAACAGGGAGGGCGCCACGATCCGGCCGAAGTTCACGATCGCCGAGTCGATGCCTTGGGCGTGGTGGGAGGGACCATCACGGGAGCGGAGGATCTGAGGATGTGGAGAACACGTAGGACATCCGTGCGTGGAAGGTGCTGAGAATGGGGCTGAGAAGGGCATGTTCAATGATGTTCAAGTTCAACATGTTTCTGACGTCCTTTTCACGTTGTCGTTTGATGAGAATTGGACCGAGTCATGGCCTCCTGCGCCATGACTGCCCAGCAAAGGGTGCGTGCCAATATGGATGATAGCTGCAAAGGCTGTCTCCTCAAGAATTTGCGATCGACCTCTGACCCTCCTCCAAATGGGCTCTGAAAGCCACTGGGTTGTAGTTGGGAGGCAGCTGTCAGGGGGGCAGCTGTCAAGCACCAACCTTCGACCATCCTCATGCGACGTGTCAGTTCCAAAAATCACGGCCCCAGCATGCGATATACATAAACACCGTGCAGAATTGGGTTGGAATGAATTGGGGATGGCAAACCCAAAGTTCGTTTCCTGGATTCAACCTTCCACGCGCTTCCAAATCTGCAACAACAAGACAATTTGGTACGACCCGTACCTATCCTTCGCCTCCTCTAGCCCATAATCTACAAAATCCTAAGTGGCCCAGCGCAACAAAGTCATCGAGAATGTCTTCTCCATCTTGGGAGCCACCCCTCCCCATCCAATTCTGTCCCACCCTAAGAATCCGGCCCGAAACCGGTCCCGGCTTGGGGAGACTCCGACCCCTGACCCAAAGACCCTGACCCGAAGTCGAGTCCATCCATTCTCGCCGTCCCAGTGGCCCAGGATCGCACCGGTGCGCCCCTTCGGGGCGAAGCGCACCAGCAGCGCCGGCAGCGCGGGGGACACGAGCGCGGAGCCTCCGGCATCGATCCGACTCAACATGCAGAAATGTCGACCTTTTTCCTTTGTAAAAGCCCAAAAGCGCCGCCAGAATCACATCGAATATGTACCAGCACCTTCCAACAGGTCTCCTTTGGAGGGTTGTTAGGCCCTAACAGGTTTCAATTGGTGACCCTGGGAGTCCAGGAAAGACGATGTTTAAAACGGTCTGACGAACGGTGATCCGAGTGAAAAGGAACTTCCTGAACACTTGGGTGGTGCCTCAAATAGTCGAACTGGACGTACCTAGGGTATATACATTTGGAAGATCCAGGTCTGACTCCCCATCAGTCCAGGGGGGAGGCGGTGGTTTGCTGTGGTGCTTGTATGATCTTGTCCATGATGCTGCTTTTGGAGTGGATGATGGTGGCCTTCGGTTTATGGGCCCTTCTTGAGTTCCAAGGGAGGGCACCCCGATTTCTATTGAACTACTGGACAGTTTGGGTGTAAACTTGGCTGGCGCTATTCGGTTGGAGGTGATTGCGAATTAGGTTGGAGGCCATCACTTGCAGATTGGAGGCCATCGCAAGAAGTATATATAACTCCATAAGAAAAAGTTGAATGTTTGTAAGTTACAGTAATTCAAGCTGGTTCTGTGCTTGGAGGCTTGGAGCATCGCAGCGTGCTGGGATCGAGGAACGACCAAGTCGCTTCACCCAGGACGAGCCGATAGGATGGTCAGTGGGTTCAATCATCCCGATTAAAAGTTGAACCTACTGGTGAAGAAGCTACCACTAGATAGATGGAGGACATCCACGCCCCCAAAGTCATACATTGGCACAACAAAAGTCACCACCCTCCTTCTATAACCCCAGAGGATCCAGTTACCACTATAGCTTGCAACCAGTGGTTCCAAAGACTAAAACCATAGACTTGGAATCCCTGGTTCCTTATATAGTGGTAACTGGGATCCAGTGGGAACCTTTGAACCCCAGAATCGGACAGCCCAAGGTCGCCCCTCTCCAGTCCTCCCCGTGTCTCCAGTCCTCCCCGGGACTGGCCAGAGTATTTCGTTGCCACCCTATCAAGGTCCTGGAGTAGCCACTTCCACTGCAAAAAGTAATGGCTTCCTTTTGAAACGCCTGACCCTAGGGTCCTCCTTCCGTTGTGGAGATGTGTGTTGAGACTTGAAGCACTTCACATCCGAATAACGTGTGAACATCCCTAGAGATGTTGAACAGTCCCATATGTACGACTACAGGGCCCCAGTTCAGGTCTTACCACCTCTCTTGGTCCCCCTCCGCAACCTCGCCTGCGCCGTACACGGCGGCAGAGGCAAAGATCTGTGGCAGGGAGCTGCTGTCAGGCCACGTCACTAGGCTTCCTTGGAGTGCTGCAGGAGGGTGGGCCACAATCGACCAATGGCTGCGGAGATCATACCGGCCACAGCTCCCCAAACGTCACCTACCTGGACCCGACTTCACAGGTGTTTCCTGGTGGCAAGTCCGGTGCCCAGGTTCACCACCTGTTAGGGTCCCAAAACAGTCGGAAGGTCCAGTCGTATGAATTCGGTTCGGCTCCCGGCGAATCCAGAAGGCTCCCGGCCACTGGTCAATCTGCCAAATGAAGTGGACATGATCACACCTGCGGAGCTACGCAACACACAATTCCCCCAATGTGGGTCACCAACTCTGGGAATGGTTCGTCAAAAGAGCTGCAGCCTCGTCCAGGCTTTATCCCCCAATGTGGGTCAACTTCGTCTGGGACGGTCAACTTCGGACCGGCCATGCAAGGACCGGCCTTCATCAAGGACGATCAGTGAGTTCAGTTCGGAATGGTCAAGTTAAAGAGCTGCAACTCTCAAAGGCATAGTCCTCAAAGGCACATTGCTACGTTCTGCCACACCCAAAAGGTGTATCATAAATTGCGCACCACCTGCATCCCTCCAACCCCTGTCTTAGTTGGTTAGTCCCTGAGTTGTCAATCTGAACACGATATCCTCTATGATTTGAGCTCCTGGACTGCAACTAGTTTCCACAGAAAGCCAGCTCACCCAAATACGGTATTATATAGTTGTATTACACATTGTATACAATTTGTGATAACCCAGACACGACACATGGGACCGCCATAGGACTGCCGCCCCATTGACGCCCTGGCACCACCCCTGGCCTGATCGGCAGTCCTATGGCAGTCCCAAACAGGTCGTGTCTGGGTAATAACAAGTTGTAGAACTCTTACATTCAGAAAGGTCACTACCCAAACCAGGACCTTCCAAGAGGTGTCTATAAACAGCCTCTTAGAGGTCAAGGGGTGCCCAAAAGCCACCTGTTGGAAGGTCCTGGAATGTGTGAGTCAGATTATGAGCTGCCCACACTCCCATCTTGCGCTGAGGGGCCGAGGCCGATGACGACCAACAAGTAGCCCAAAAGCACGGTCTTCTCTAGGCCGTATCCTGGGATCTTGGAAGCCTGTTCTTTTCCTGGAATCGTCCAGTCATGACTCATTTTACCCCAGCCTGGTAGTGGTGGATTGGACTACGAGGTGGGGCAACATGAGTCAAAACAAAAGTTCTGGGTCTTCTCTGCGCGGCTTTTTGGGCCCCAAAGAGGTGTTGCAGTGGATCTCATTGGATCAAATCCGTCCTTAGTCATAACTCGCTGGTGTTTCAACCTGTGGGTTGACCTTTTGGCTGATGTTCACACGGGTCCTGCTATGGCCTGCGATTTCCCTGAAGCAAAATGTGTTGAGAGGTCTCCCCATCAACTAAGGCTATAGTGCATTTTTGCTGAACGGGGTTCGATACGAAGGCCGTCCCAGACCGAACCCCAAAGACCAGCACCCGGCCAAACCAGGTCTACAGTGACCTGTGAAGGTCGGGTGTTGGTAAAAGTATACGTCGCGGCGTGGGTAGCTACAATCGTCTTGTTTGATCGTGTTTGCAATTGGAAAATTCGTCTGCCCACCATTTCAGTGGTCTACTTAAACATGGCAGGTGACAGGTGACCTGTATTTCAGTGCCGACTTTCCACTACTTTCCTTCTTCATCCTATTTCGCAGGGATCGGTTTCGTTCCCATGGCGCACCGGACGCTGCCGACGGTGCTGCTTCACCCGGAAACGGCCGGGTCCACAAGTGCCAATCTCCAGGGGGACAGGAGGTGGTTTCCCACAAAGGATTGAAGAAGTCTACATATAGACCCCAAATAGATCTGTAACATAGTAGTTCCAAACACTCATGTATTGGAAATCGTGTCTATATATCTATTTGGAGATCACTATTATAGGCTATATCATCATAGGTACACCAGTGGGGTCCTAGTTCAGGTCACTATCCACCTCTCTTGGTCCTAGTTCAGGTCGGTGCTTCAACTGGTGCCTTCAACCCTCAGTTTCGGTGCTACCGAGGAGCTCCGGCGACAACGCTCAAAAACACCAATCTGAACCTGGCCGAGAGGTTGGAGGTTGTGCTGAGAGGTTGTTGTGGGTGCAAAGTAAAACCAAGCAAAGCAACTCCAAGTCCTACACTGCACAATCATGGGCCTCGTGCATGGAAACTGGTCCCGGTTTCGGATGATCATGTTCCAATGACCATGGGCCGGTGGTGCCATCCACGTAAATGCTTATTTCAGGGACTGTGTCGAAGCACGGTGATTGGAAAGCGACAAACCCACCCCCCTGAGCCAGTCAAAGCCTCTGCAGTGTTGCCTTTCTGTGCAGACCACCTGACCCGCTGCTAAAGCAAACTGAGGAGCCATGGCCACCAAGAAGGAGATAGCCGTCAAGACCTCAACAGATTCGGCACGAAGGGACTCTCCAAGGTCTACAACCGACATAGTCCAACCAGCTTCCAACATTGGAACAATGAACATTAAACATCCTTGCATATCCTTGCATAGAACATCCCTGGTAGATCAATTGCATGTATTCTGGATTGGACTTCATCCTCCTACCTCTTGCTCTGCCGCTCCCTGCTCCAGCAAGCCGCTCCTTCTTCGGCCTCCGGTCGCACCCGACCCTGAGCTGCCCGGCCGCACCGAGCCGCGCCAAGGGCAAAGCGAAGCGTCGGGCGAGCAAGAGAGGGAAATAGGAATGGAAGCAAGTCCTCGCATCCCGACCCGAGACGTCTACCGGCCCCGAACCGGAGGGGTCGGACCCGGCCATCCGGGGTCGAAGCAATCCCGAAACCAAACCAGGAACAAATGGATGTTTCCCCCAAACAGACCACATAGTCGACTACGACATGTTTTGACTTGCGCAAAGAACATCACACACTGGAAAAAAATCCGAGTTTCTTCTACAAAAAAGGGATTGTCCACTTCCATGCGTTTTTGAGAGAGGGTAAACCATGGTAAACCCCGTTAAACCTTCATGTGGCCAAGGCAACTGATTGCAACCGCTGACGCCGTGCGCCGTGCGATGCCCAGCGCTCAGCGCAGCCGTGTTCAAAAAATCAGCTCGGAAGACTATAACATTTGGGTAGGGTTTCTGTGAAGGAGAGCATCACAGAACTGAGATGAAGGGTCCTGGACCCTCCAAAGGCACTTTGGACATTTCACATTGGTGGCGCAAGTTTTAACCATCCGAATCTAAGCAATCTGAATCCCCTGCAACTCGTCATGGTGGAAGCGGATTTGTGCGTGCTCTCCAGCATGTCACCACCTTCGACCCTGTAAACAAAACCAGGTAAGTAGAACTTTCCACTTGCTGGATTTGAGTGGGGTGACCCCAATCACCACGGTGATCTACATACTTCCTGGGTACGAACTGATTTCTGCGGAGTGCCGGGTTCGCTTACCCGCCACGCCAGTTTCTGCCTCCACCGTCTTCAACGACAATCTGAGAAGGAATGCTCTACCAAAAGCCCTTCAAACCGGCAAAAACCTGGATGTCCCTAGCAAAACACATGGTTTTTGTATGTGAACATCTTGCGTTTTTTTAAATCACGGGCTGTGGGTAACCTGGTATGAATTGGTTTGTGCTCGAAGTATGCTACAAGTACCAGCACTTCCGACGAAGCCAGGGCTCCGAAGTTGTGGGTAGCTGGTTTTGGCAGACTGGTGGTGACCCGGGTACTTTCAGAGGATGCCAAAAAAGAGAGACCGGCTCCCGAAGCTTCAGATCATAGATGCAACATCCCACACAACATCGTGAATTCTTTTGACTGTATATCTGATGTATCATGTATCCAATTCGAGGTGTCCGCCAACTGTGTGACAACCAATAAGGCAAGTGTGCGTAGGCAAACCAGGCATGCAAACCAGTTCTCCAGCCCACCAGTTCCAATCACGATCGGCCACCAAAGGGCTCCAACAAACCTCAGATCATGTTCGGGCCTGCACAAATTTGTAATTACCCAGAGGCTCATCGACCCTCAAACTGCTACATGTTGGAGGTCCAAAACCCTGATTGTGAGGGTCAAAACCCTAGCCATGAGGGTCCAATGAGGGGTAGTGGATGATATAGGCTCTTTCTTCGACTTGTTCCTTTGTAGGTCTTTTCGCGCTGCCCTCGCATCCACCCAGATCTGCGGCGAGATGGAGATGTCCTGGAACACGCCCAAATGAAGGACAGGAAGAACAATGGCACCTCGGGACAGTCTGCCTTCTGAGCGGAGGGCCCCCCCCCGCTCCACAGCCCAACGAGGTCTGGAAACAACATAGCGCGATCAAATCCTTAAACTAACACCAAAAGATGGTAGTACTATGACAAGTACTATGACAAGTTATATATGACATGGTTCAAACCTACACCAAATCCGTACCATTTCGTTCATACAATTGCAGGCGCCAAGGGGGATGACCATATAACCATGAAATCCGAACACCAAACAGGTGGTGGCGCGCATCTGGAATCCTCTGACGAACACATGGACAATGGAAGGTGGACAATGGCTGGCATTTTGGCGCTGCTTTGGACGACGACTTTCCTTTACAAACAAAGGATTTCTCCACTTCCATGGATTCCATGGTCAGAGTGTATTTTGGAACTGCCTCATTTCATCGGGTGCCGATTCCGTGTTCGAAGGCCTTCTTTCGCTTGAGCAGTTGGACTGGAACTCATTCGCTACCAGTCGGGAACTGATCTCATTTCACTGGAGTTGGCCATGCAAAACACTACTCAAGGAGGTTGCTGCATGGGACCAAGTGTTGCTGCGTCAGGCTGGACCTGGTCCGGGGCATTCTTGCTGTTCCAGGATGCTTAAGGATACCAAAAAGGCCAACACAAACTGCAAATAGGTTGGTCATCACCAGAACCTCCCCCTAGAACTCCTGGTCTGGTCTTTCCCCGCCGTCTCAGGAAACCTCTTCCCAGTCCAGGTCTTGCAAAGTCAACCACTTCATTGGGTTGGTCCATTGGATTCTGCTTCTTCAGAAAAACCACCGGCCGCGACCCGTCGCAACCACCGCGACCCGTCGCAAGCCCCGCGGTTGGATGTTCACCCCCAAAACCGGCACGGAACGGGCTCAGCCATGCTCGGCCTACGGCGACGCACGCGGAGCACGCGAAATGGCTGGTGAGGCGCTGCGCGCCAAGGTTGCCATCGGCTTTCTCCTGCTGTTTGGCTCTTGGCCTTGGCAATGGGTGGAGTCCTCAGAGCAGCAATCTCTCGTGCGCACGCGGCGTGCACCACCGCGCCACGGGCGAGACCTAAGATGTCTTACTTAAGGTCATTTCGAGATGCTCAACTGACCAAGAGAGGTCGAACAGCCTGAAAACCCCCATCCATTACATACTATGGGGTCCTAGTTCAGGTCTCTCAACCTCTCAACTGGGAGGAAGTGTATATACAGTAACCGTTTTCTGGCGAACTCAAGCTACCTTTAATGTCCGGTCCGAAGGGGTGTTTGTTACGCCTCCAATCATGATCCGCCCATCGAGATGGGCTGCACTAACAAATGCTGCGACAGGCCTAACAAAAATACCACTCACTGCACTTCATATCCACTGAAAAGCCTGCTATTCACTCTATTTCACTCCTGAAAATCAATGGCTTCCCGCCACCGGTCTCCATCCCGTCCTCCCTCCACCTCCGATCGCTCCTGGGCTCCGGTAGCACGTGGAGGCACAGCAGCGCCGCGCCGCTGCTTGCCAGCGCCGAGAAGAACATCGGCGCCGACAGGAACCGCGCGGCCAGGAAGCCGCCGAGCGCCGGGCCCAGGATGAACCTCCGGGCCGGGCCGTCATGGCGGGCGACGGACGGGCGTGGGGGGCTGGGCGTTGAGGCGGAAAACGGTGTTCTTTTTGCGTGGGGCATAGCCTTCGGGTTTTTCAGTGACCAGCGGCGCTGCTTTTACAAAAAGAAGACCATGAACCTGGACCCCCAGTCGGGGTGGATAATGGACACCCCTTGGCATCTAGGGGGCTATCAGTGGACACCCATTCTTTCCGTGGTGCTGGAAGGAATGACCCTCAGCGGGACCCTCAACCTGCAAACAGCGCACCCGGAACCTCACAAATACGTCAACCGGTAGACGCTGCATATAGAACCGGGCCCCAAAGGGGAACACCTATATGTTTCATGTTGTGTTTTCTATAGGTTGCTTCTTGAATGCAACCATCTGCCATTTTGATGGAACTTCCCTTGCAACATTAAAGAGCGCCCCTCGAAATCAGGTTCCACAATTGGGCATTCGAGCCCACAGCCTGAAGAGCACCAAGCAAACCATGTGGGTACAACTCCTCTGCAGCATGTCAAGGGTTCCAACTTGCTCAATATACGGTGCAGTCTTCCTATGCCTTCCTCAAATACTAGCGCATACTAGCGCCCTCCAATAGGTTTTTCCTGGTGGTGACAGCAGGTGCAAAGAGCCTTTGGAGTGCTGGTATAGGTATGTTGACGAAGCATGGAGGCAATCATGGGAGGCACCTGTCACACTGTCAGACAACCAGGTTCTTCAACCAGAAGTCACAAAGGGGTGCCCATTGGAGGATAGGGGTTCCCAAACCCCTGCAGCAGGTCGTTGATTCATCAGATGGCGTACTTGGCGGCAAAGAGGATCAAGAGGTCATTGCAGAACGTTGCAACTGGAGCATTTGGGTAATACGGAGACCCCCTGGCCCAACCGGGTTTTGGTTTATGTTTACCCATGGGTGTCGCTTTATGCTCTTTCTTAGTCCTTTTGGGAGGTATCCCCATTTTTATGCGCATCTTCTAAACGGATCTGCTCGCGAGACAGGAAACAGCTTTCTTCCAATACAGCTGACTCTCTGTGGACCTCTCTCTACATCAGAATGTTCCTTCTGATTGACCGATGGGGAAAAACATGCATAAACTACCCTCCACAAAACAGAACCAAACATATGAGTCAGTGGATGAAACATCTTACAGGTTGAACATAAACATATGAAACCACAACCCAGTAAACCCACCTTCGAAGGTGACATCCCACTTTCTGGCGGTGGTGGTTTATGATGTGCTTTCCAAGCACCATCTGGGTATTGGGTGGTGTTGGCAAGTTGGTCCCTGGAATCATGGAAGTCGAAAACCACCAGCTCACCAGCTGTTTGGTCTTCGGATTTCAGGGTCCAAGCAGCGCGCCGGTGCCTGCGGCTTCCCCTCGGAACGCCGGCGACGCATCGGGATCGTTTCAAGGCATTGGTACTGAAGTAGTAGCCAAGTCTTCCAAGACCATTTAAAAAATGGTTGACCTGGCTTTTGTAGTGTAAAATCCTTAGTTGATTCGGTAAAGCCTGTTAAATTAATGGTTGTTGGAAGCCTAGGGGTAGTCAAGTCTTCCAACAAAATAACATACCATGCGACTATGATGGACTCTGACTACGAGATACTACGAGTACCACTCATGGGACCATGTCACAGTCTTCCAGTCGTACCCTAAGGCTCCAGTCGTACCTTCCAAGAAGGTGGGACTGGGGTGGGTGCCAGGGTCCTGTCACACCTTCTGAGGTACGACTGGAGCCCTATAATATGGAATATCTTGCCGTTCAGCATTGGTCTTGTAGAAAAACTCGACCAAGTTCGCAAAGCGAGCAGAAACCGTGCCTGCTTTTGGGGGGAGGCGAGTTCGGGTCGCGAACCCCAATGACAGCGCGGCCGTTGAGGCAATTAATGACTTTCATGATTGTTGCCACGGCAATTGGATCTGAATTGCTCAACCTTGGTTGCCTACCCTCCCAAATGATCTGCTGGACACGCCGCTGGTGAACAGTTGAACTGGGTCCTGATCGAATCCGTCTGCAAACTGCGTCTCCCAAACACTGCATTAGCTCGAGAAAGGCAAGCATGACGGATCATTTTGGATCATTTTACAGTTCAAACATGGTGACTGTGAGTGATGCATACCGCATACCTATACCAGCATCCTCACTGCCAGGTCACCAATGGTTCGACCTGGGCATGGGCCCAACATGGCCCAACAACCTTCTAGAACAGACCTGTAGGGTTGCATGCTGGTACTACATGAGGTGGTTTGTGTATGGCACCAATCAACATGGTCTTCCCTCCCGCCCCTCATCCAATGCAGCCCCGTCGCGATAGGCTAAGACCTGCCAGTTCGCGACCGTCCATGTCACGGTCATGAGACACTGTAGAGACGTAAAGGCTCTGACTTACTGCATCCGTGCAAGTTTATAGTTACAACTCGGGGTCTTTTACCATCATTTTCCCTACTCACATATGCCTTCTCGCTCCGCAAACTTGTAGACTTGTCCCATTCCGCATCCGGCACTTGCCAGACCATGTGAACATATTGTGAAAAGGCCTGCCAGTTTTAGGATTCACCAAGGGACCCGAAGGGTTCAGAGGTTCCGACGTGACCACCGCCCATGTACCGTCCACCCTCGACCGCTGCCGATCGTCAGGGTGGTTGTCCGGGGCGCGCGCATCGCGCGACGGCGGCGAGCTCTTCGCGTCAGGCATCCAGTCTAGTTGTCTAAGGAGCTGCAACCCTCAAAAGCAAGGTCCCCGATATGGGTCACTGAGTCCGAGATGGTCAAGTTCGCCAACGAGCTGCAATCCTGAAAGGCACAGTCCCCGATATGGGTCACTGAGTTCGGGAGGGTCAAGCTTGTCAAAGCGCTGCAATTACAAAAGGCATAGTTCCCAATGTGGGTCACTGAGTTCGGGAGGGTCAAGCTCGCCAAAGAGCTGCAATGCGCAAAGGCATAACTTCCGATGCGGGTCACGGAATTGGGGACGGTCAATTTGGCCAAACGTTCGCAGGCAGCAAAAGCCCTTTCTGAAATTTGATTGTCACCTTCTGGAATTTCAACTGCGAGGACCAGGTCAGGGTCGATGTGACTCCCAAGGCTGGCGACATCTTGTTTCTTGGAGCATCGCACAAGGTTTGTTTTGAAAACAACATTGACAACCAAATCTGCAGTGCATCCTGCTTTTGCTACCTGTTCATCATTGTTCAGCAGCAGATCTCCAACAACAATCTCTACCCCCGTAGTCATGCGAGTCACTTCGTCGGAATGCTGAATTTCCTTGATCTGCTGCTTTAAGTCTCTACCCGTCATCTCTGCCGTTACTTCAATATCAAGCATTTCGCCATTGACCTGCAGTGCTGAGAGTCTCATTGCCATAGCTAATTATGTGCAATCGCTCCCCACCTGGAGTTTGTCCTTACAACTGGTGCGAAGGTTGGTCAATAATGTTTGCACAACGTCTGATTCATGCTCAGAACCCCCATTGAAACCAAAACCAACTTAAACTGGTTCCTGCAATGTTTGTCAAACTTGGCCAAGGGCTTTCTCAACTCCAACCAGCTTCTACATCTTCTACAGTCTCCAGCAATCAGTTCGCACGCTGAACTTTGAGATTTTTTCAGCAAGACCGGCCATCTCCGCCCCAAGGTTCAACTTTGACCACAAGTTGAACCCAAGTTGGCTCGCAAAACAAGTTATCAACCCACAAGTTGGCTTATCAACCCACTTATCAACCCACAAGTTCGACTCCTTTACGTTCGACCCACCCGTCGCGATCCGGACCAAGACAGCCACGGGCACCGGGACCCGCCCGTCTTCAAACGGTCAAGGTCTTCCCGGTGGACGCAATCCGGTTTTCGTGGAGTCTGGACCGGACCGACCGTTCTTCACGCGAATCCAAACACCCGAGGAGAGACATAAACAAGTATGACATCAAACATATCCTGAACACAAAATTTCTATTATGAATATATAATGATTTACATGCCTACTGTACATTGACCTTTGAAACCACCCCAATACTCACCCCAATCTATCTAAATCTAATGCAAAAGTAAAGCCAATGTAAATATGCCACCCATGGAGTGTCTGGGCATGTGGGCCATCCATACAATACGTTTTACTTGTAGGCTTCAATTGGGCACCATTGGATGATGTTGGATGGTCTTGGTATGTTGTTCTGTGGAGTTTGTCATGCTTGATCCTTTCACTAATGTTGGTTCACGGCCCCCAACAAAAGAAAACTATGATACAGACAATGCCACGTCCAACGAAGTCAACAGCTGGGGAAGAAAAGCTCTCTGCCGAATGATGTCTGTTTGTGGCAAGTCAACAAGCTCCAACTCGGTTTGAAGGACATGTCGACTTTATTTCCCAGCCCCGTGGGACTGGCTATATTCACATTGACCCCTCTGGCACCACCCCAACTCATCGGTAAATATGCCAGCAATTTGATGTTTGGGTTCCTGCAGGCTTCTGTTGTGGAAGAAGTGCTATGTCTCCCTTGACCCCCTTTCCAAACAGAAAGCGGGAAAAAACAGTCACACCCGAAAGCGCCTTCGGGACGTCCTCGCTACGAAAGGTGTCCACGATGTAGGCCTATACGCAGAGGCTGGACGAAACCCACACGACAAACCATGGTCGTGGGTTTCGTGCCCGGTCCTTCTCGAAAAACCCATCACCACCGGTAATTTCGGCTGAATTCACTCCCAGACGCGACCCATGAGACTGGCATAATATGCCGATCAGGCCAGGGGTGGTGGTTTGGGGGTCAATGTAAGCATATATGGCAGTCCCATGGAGTGTATGTTACTGACTGTTACATGCGGACCAACCCAACAAATACCAGTACCAGCATCCTCCAACAGTTCACCCATTAAGACCTTGAGACCGGCCCTTATGGGCCCTTCCTCCCAATGATCACCACGAACGAGGAGAGGCAGTGAGGATGCTGGTACTGCTGGTAGGTCTGCACCCTCGGACCGGGACCTGCTCCGGGCCGTCTGTTGGGGGCGACCGTCGGAAAGGAACCATATGGTTGTATGTCTTGCCCTAGGACTCCTGGCCCACCTCCGTTTCGAAGGTGGTTGGGGGGTCCAACCACCTTCTAAGGATATGGTTGGAGCCCTATAGGGTTGGTGGTGTGCATGAAAATCCGATGGCGTGCATAGGAATACCTCTCAAACACGGCGTTGCCCCCCTCAAAAGAAATGGAAAAACAACGCCGACACCTGACCTGGTCATCCACTCTAGACCTTATATTGGACCTTCCCGCAGATGCAGGAGACATCTTCAGCATCTTCAGCACCTCACCTGGTTCGGCGTTTCTCCTGAGGGTCTTGAAAAAGCAAGGATGGACTTCTTATGGCTTGGATGGACTTCTTGTGGCTTGGATGGACTTCTTATGGCTTGGATGGACTTCTTATGGCTTCCGATGGGTTCCAGGTCTTTGCATAGCCTTCACATCAAAATCTGTTCCAGCTAGCTTCAGGGACCAAAAAGGACTCCAAACAAGTTCTGATAATCAATCAACTCACGATAATCTGATTTCATCCATCAAGAATTGACCAATTCCATGTCATTCACCAAGCTCCTTCACCTCCCCCCACCTTTTTCCACTTTCCACCGGGCCGGGATTAAAACACCCGTGAGAAAAAGAAAAACACACACACCCCTGTCCACCAGGGTCTCTACTTCCCGCCTTCACCGTGGGCACGATCCCGCTGAACATGCCCGCGACGCCACGGACCTACCGGTCGCCACGCGGTCCGGGGAGGGTGGGTGTTAGAGACCTGGGCCCCCTCGAGACCTCATATGACCTCCTACAGATCGAGGAAATCAGATCCACCCGAAAAACATGCCTGGGACCCCGTGCCACGATCGGATCTATTTGGTGACCACAGCTGTATAGTGGGGGCTCAGAGGTGAGAAATGCAATGCCACAAGTTACCCTAATGTCATAGGTGGTTCAGTAGTCCCATCCGGGCTCCAGTCGTACCCTTCCTTTCGAAGGTGGGACTGGGGGCCCGGGTGCCATGTTCGGGCCCTGTCACACCGTACCTGAGGAGGTAACCTCCTGGAGCCCTACCAGTCTGTGGCATCCCATCTGTCCAAGACCATCGGGTGCCGCAGTGCCATTTCTCAGACTCGAGTGGACGAACGGCCGAGTGGTAAGTCCCGAACGAACCGAACGGGTCCCAGTGGCGGGGGAGGGTTGCGGATGGTCTCCGTACCGCCCTGAAACGTTACCCGACTCTACAGGGCTCCTCCGGAGGCTGTTACTGACTTCAAAGTCGCAGGTGGTGACCTGTAGAGTCGGGTGCTGGAAGGTTTTCCACATATAAAAGCTATTCAAAATGGGAAATCCAGGCTTTTGATGGCTTTTGATGGTTTGTGGGGCCCCGGGTATTGCATCAGCCTTGACACAGCCCCTCCTTTGGTTCTAGCACTGATATTTGGATGATTGCAGTAAGGAGGGCATTGCACTTCACTCACCGCTACCTCATAGCTCATCCTCCTGAATGAGCACCCGAGTGGCCGTCAGGAAGGCCCAAAAGGGCCAAGTGTACCTTGGATGTTCATACTCTGCAAGTTCGCGCAACGCGCAATTGAAACACACGCAGTCCACATGTCTGGCCATGATAGCAAGTACAGGGTGGTGAGGTGGATTCGGATCTTCCTTTTGCCGGAGAGTTGGCTCCTGCAAACCTGAACTCTCATTCACATCTCTTGCCAGATGCAGATCCTTGTTGTACCAACTGGTTGCCCCCCGTGAGTTGCGTTTTCGACCAACTGGTTGACTGGGTGATGAAGTCTAATGGGCCCTTTGGAACTTTCAGAGGTCTGAAACCTGGAGGGTTTGCTCTATGGAATCGATCGTCTGGTCGTAGCCCTCCCACCCCGGGAGACATGGATTGTAAAAACCTCTGAACCGAGGTGGGTGAACCTGAAAGTCTGCTTTACTCACCGCTCATCTGCCTTACTCACCTCGAATTCTTCGCGACCTGTCAGACCGGGCACGTCACCATGGAGTCACCATGGGGTCGGACCAATTCAAAAATGGTCCCGGACACTTGGGGCTCTGGTAGACACTACACTACACCTCTGTAGGTCCACATTTGGTTTCTACTAGGAGCAAAGCTACCAGGGGCAACAACGCTACGAACGGGGCTCCTGGCCATACTACTAGGAGCAAGAATGCCACTAGGAACAAGGGCATTTCTACTGTGTATATATATATATACACAGTATATATTTCGCCTGAAAATGCGGCGATACAAATCCTTCCGCAGAACATCCGCATGCCCAATTCACTACTTGAGAAAAACGATGTTGTTGATGTTGTTCTCTCAAAGAGGCAGGTTCCGAACTCAAGCCCGATACAAGGGAGTTACCAGCGACATATGCTTCACTTTCGATGCTTACAATCATTGCAACAACACTGGGCGATTCCAAGATATTCCAAGAAGCCTCTACGAAAGTTCACGCTCCACCAATGGTAGTCCACATGTTAAGTCAACTCCAATGTTTGGAGCAATTTTCTTGAACAACTGGTTGACCCTCATTCATCCCTTCCCTTGTGCCGATGCACTCATTCATACTGCTAAGGGGCGCCTCATTGTACGGATGGCCTCTGACACAAACACACCAGCACCACCAATTGACGATCCAAATGGCAGCCAAATCATGCCACTCAAAAGGCGGACGAGTCACCCCATATGGACCCATGGACGCGTGCTTTTTTTGGATGAAATGGACATGATCCTGCAACATTTGGTACGAGTGTACCCCTTTTCGGAGGTACCAACGCGTCGACTCCAGGTACTGCTCAAGAACAAGCACATGCTGCCGGTCTGTCTGAAGAAAAGCGAAGCCCGCAACAGCGAATGAATGCATTTCGCCAAGTGGCGCAATGGCCACACCCTGCAAGGCGGAGCCTGCAGTGGATGGGTAGTATGGTAGTAGGGTAGATTAGGGTAGTACAGCCAAGCGGACCGTCCATGCTTGGTTTTCGCAAATAAGAACGAAGAGTTGCATCGAATGAGTGACCAACCCCTGGCAAACCAGAATCTTGTGCAACAACAACTGGATAAGATGGATAAGGTCCCCGAAAGTGACACAACCCCAAAAATACAGTTGTGGTGGTCTACCTTTTGCTGACCCTCACGCTATCACACTTCTAAAGCCACACTTTTCATTGGTCCTCTAAGTAGGTGGCTTAAAAACATCAGCCAAGGACAGTTCGAACGGTCGGATTGATTCTGCTTCGAAAATGCAGACCTCGTACTCAGACCTCGTCACTCAGACCTCATATCAAGAAAGTCCACGGGCATGGGAAGTCCAAAACGGTTTCTTTCGGGGATTTTGTCCATACCAGCATAGGTTGAAGAACCCGACAAGTTCCACTATCCTATAGGTACCCCAGGTTTTCCGGGTCCTAGTTCAGGTCACTTAACCATTATATATACAAAACCTCTGTTACTCTGTTGGATATCCCACGGAATTTGTCACCGCGCCTGCTGCGCCACCCATGAGGGCTATAAAGAGCACCTTCTTCCGTCCAATGAAGTCACTCAAGATCCTCGGGACCCGGCCCCGGTGCGGTCGGCTATGACGTGCCATGACCAGCTCCTTTGATGGTTGTCCCAGAACTTTCCACGAACTCGTATTGTTCAGGCAAGAAGAGTCATTTGGACTTCCAGGGTTTACAGGCATGTCACAGTGCTTTGAGATTGGGTGGCACATGGTGGCACGGCATAAACCGCAAGTTGTCTAAAATAGATGTTTAGATGATTTTAGATGGGGGTCCAAAGAAACTATATCATTACAACAATTTGCGCATTGTACCATCTACTCTGAAACCACAATCTAGTTCTTCTGGGAGTTGTTTTTTTTTTTTTTTCTGTGTCCTCTCTTCACACGGGCGCCGCTGCTGCGCGAGATGGAACACAAAGGCATGCAGGAATGAACTGCGATGGATTCAGCATATGCGATGGAACACGCCATGAGGGATTGTTGGAATTGGTTGGACTTGTTTGGAATCAATGACACCCTCGGTACGGCAACTGAACCGGACTCGTTTGGTGCAACTGACTCGCCAAGGTTTGAAATACCTTCAGCATCTTTCGGCTATATACTGTATATATATATATGTTATATACGTGTAATACATGTCTGTATGTATATGTATATATTATATGTGTAATGCATGTGTATATGTATACACACACAAACATACATACATACATACATACATACATACATACATACATACATACATACATACA